ATTTCTATACATGGCTAAGAGCTGAGTATTTTTCTTTTACTTTACACTAAAAAAAAAAAAAAGCTCTCCACAGATAATCATCGAGGAACAAAAAAATCCCCTGCATCTCAATGCTATCTTATACAGGATCTACAGTGAGTAATATGTGGAATTAGTTTTAATTAAATTAATCGACTATGATGGTTGTTAGGAGAAAAACACAGAGGGGCGGGGAGAGGGGAGGGGTGCGAGTGAGGGAAAGAGAAGGAAGGGGAGAAATGCATTCACACCTATCATCTAATTATACAACAGCATTAATCACATTAGGGCTGGAACTGATTGCCAGGGTCCAGGGCCCTGCTGCTTCTATGTGTCGCTTTGTTATTGCAGCAGAGTCTTAGCTCCTGCCTGCTCTGGTCTGATAACAACTCTTATCACACTTGGCGATCTCTATCTGCACCGGAGATCAGGCCCCAGGGCTTATCAAAAGTTCACATCGAGCTAAAAGCAGAACAAAGAAGGAAACACACACACATCACACATACACACACAGGCAAAAGCCACCAAGAAGCTATGCAGTGTGTGTGTGTGAGAGAGACGTATGTAAATGTGTATATATGTGAAACTGTGTGAGGGTGTGTGCACATACTGAAATGTGAGTGTGTATTTGTATGTGTAGTGAACACTGACTGTTACTGCTAGACCTTTAGTTGGGGTCATAAATGTCCCAACTCAGTCAAAAACAAGGGAAAAAAAAAATCACTCTTGCGATAACGCTAATTTTTGCCTGCACCCCTTTGGGATTCTAGTAGTATATAAGCAGTAAGCTAACAACAGTTCACATTAAAAGTTTTTTGAGAGTTCTAGATTAAATGCAGACATTCCATTATTTGAAGCTTGTAACAGATATACTAACATATATTTTACCTCCTAGCTTTAGTTTTACTGTGACTTCAGTAAAGAGCATAAACACAAAGCTGCCACCGTTTTCCAATTCTAAGAACTGACTGAAACACATTGGTTAGGCTACCACTCAGTCAGTGATGTATCTAGGACTTCCAGCCATTTTTCCCCTCACTAAGTTTCTCACAAAATGTCTCACAAAAGTGATGTTTTTTTCTCAGAAAATTGAAGGTTTTACTATCAGTTCCTATTTATGTTAATGGTCTTCGTTTGCGTTTGAAGAGCGTTTGCTGGGAATTTGCTTCCAATCAAAACTTCAGTGTATTAATATAATACTCGCACAGTTTAAATACAACAATCATGATAATTGCATTAAAGGGCACATATTATGGAAAACTGATTTTTTTCCCATATTATTTCTGTGATGTCACAAGAACCAACTCATTTAAATCAATCCATCTATTGAGCCTACAGTAGTTTAGCTCTACCCATTCATACTGACGTTCTTAAGAGTGTTTCAGCTCTGAGTGTTTTTGAATGAGGCACAATATAGAGAGGCCAATCAGAACAGAGTTCATTTAATATATTAGTGTTTAAGTCATGGTAACAAAAACAGCCTGTTTATTTCTAAGAAACAAAGAGGTTGGAACATGACCATGTATAAGTGAATTATGACTGCTTTTGGTGCATAACACCACACCAAAGTTATAAGTGGACCTCAAGGGAAAAAATAACATAAGAAAATTTAGGGCATGGGCCTTTCAAATGAAAATGAACTAGAAGCAAGTTATGTATTTTTTATTACACAGAAATCGTTAGGCCCCATTGTATGAATATCTGTGAGGGTGTGCACACATATTCAACTGTATATATGTGTATGTGTGTGTAATCGTTTGTGAGGGTGCTTATACTTGACTGTTTGTGTGCATGTTTTCTTTTATTCAGCATGATGCTTTTGTCAGGATATTAGATTAACCCTCAGGTCAGGTGACCCTTTGAAAAAAAGCTGAACCTGACAGCAGCAAACGCCGGAGAACAGCTTCAGCAGAAAAAAAAACAGGAACTGCAGATATGATCACATGTCCACACTTTTAAAAGAGCAACTTGAACGGTGTCTGCGAGGTGGTCACTCAAATGAGTGCAAATGTCTGACCACCAGGAGCTCGGTCACTGCTCAAGTCAAACACGCTTGGGCTGCTGACGTCAAACAGCGCGACCCCATGCATAATGCACGGTGACCTCAGAGCCGTTTGAATGATGTCAGGCGGCGCAGAGCTATCTCTGCTATCTCTCACCATCTCCACGCTCTTATCTTAGCACCCATCTGCACGGCTGCCTTATCAGCCCTCACAATCTCACTGTGGGAGCTGCTTTTAAAACCCAGAATACATCCATCTATCGTTTCTGTATTCCTGCCTCTCTCCCCTAGCCCTTATCGCCTCTGCCATCCTATTCTGCTCTTATCTGCTCCTCTCTCTCTCTCTCTCCCTCTCTCTCTTTTTTTAACTTATCTGAAGATACACCCAGCCAGTCCCAAACAACAACACAAACATGACAAAGATGAGAATGCAGCAGCCAAATGTAATTATAATGCCAATTCCATCCACGTAATCGCTTCCATCTGTCTCACGCCGGCGCTATCGGCACAGAGATCGCCGCCTCACTTATCTCGTCTCCCATCTCAACCGCCAAAATACAAGGCCTGGGATCCAGCCCCATTGGGCCGCACAGCTAATCTCTTCATCAGGGAGGGATGGGCTAATCTATCGGAGCAATCTCCACCATTGGGAGAATGACGCACAAAAGGCACACACAAATATTTCCTCTGAACACAGACTTCCATGATACCGTATACTTGCAGCTGAAGGCCTGGATGGCAAAATCCCCCCAGGAGAGGTGTCACAAAAATAGAGCACTTGCACATTAATAACGCCTGGGTGCTTTCCTGTATGCATCTGCAAAGGACCGCCATGAACCAAACAGTGCCATGACATCACAGGACTTCTCTTTCTGCTGTGGATTTGAGGAGACATTCTGGTACAGGCCTAAGTAACCATGATATAGGTAGAAGGAACAGCATTGTTTCCCATCCCCTAAAGGTGATCTAATGTATGCTTTAACCAGGCCTTTTCAGTCTGCCATAACTGCCATACTAGCATCTGAACAATGTGTAGGGCCCATCCTATGGGAAAGAACTGCTTCAGCCAATCCATCTCCAACCCTTGTCCAACAAATTCTGTAGGAGAAATATTTGACAGCATAAGTGTAATTAGACATTAATGTGTTTGGCCTAAAGTGTTTGTGTTTAGATAATCTAAAACTTAAGAAACGATTCAATCACAAAATAAACCTATAATACATAACACTTGCATTGCCTGATTGTATCTTATGTAGCTCCTTTCTATGGAAAGATTTCTGTAAAGCTAGTGATTACCTTTCTACAGGCAAGCACAGGCCACAAGTGCTTTTTCTGCTTGACCTGAAATAGGTGTTCAGATAGCACAGCAAACACAGATAATATTAGATAGCTGTCATTGGGTGAGAAAACAGGGAGTTGCTTTAAAAAGCAGTGCTGGGCTGAATAAGACATGAACATCTCAATTAAGAGCAGCACTTGAGGTTATTGGCATGACTGCCCAATGATGCAGCTTTGCAGCCGCTTAAACAAATCGTGCTACCGCCCTTTACGCTCAGTGGTATATGCTAATGTTGCCTTATCAGACCATTTTTCTTTCCTTTTCAAGAGTCGCTTTCTGCCTTTGACTCACATTAATATTTATTTTTGAGCAGCCCTTTCAAACTCAACCTCCAAGATATTGCTACTGCGCTTATCACATCAAAGCATCTCTTCTGGATGAAGAACTGAAACAGCGCCTGGCACCAGAGCAAAACGACTTTTCAGCACTGCTGATTCTTTTGAGGGAGAAAGAGAGAGAGAGGGGGGTGGAGAGAAATAAAGAGATGGAGGGGGGGTCGAGAGAGAGAGAGGGAGAGAGAGGGAGATGGAGAGGAGGTGGAGAGAGAGAAAACAAGAACTAGAGTGAGAGAGTGAGGTCTAGAGACAGACAGGGTGGTGCTGTGGTACTACATTTTATTTTTATAACATAACTGTATCAGCTGCTAGATCAGAGATTTGTTGATAGACCTTCGCATACTTCTAAACAGGAAGAACTTGTCAGCCTCAAGCCAGTCAGCCGTAAGTGCGTATATGAAGAGGTTGTGCTGCAAGCGGCGCCTCTACATTATAGAGTTAAAAGCGGAGATGGGGGGAAAAAAGGATCCAATTGTAATCCGCTATCAGGCAGAGAGATCAGCAGGGCGCTATCTCACGGCCCATCTCTGGAGAGAGAACTGAAAAGCCGGGGGAAAATGCAACGCCAGCCTCGCTGCAGCCACAGACAGAAAACAAATAAAAAAGATCCAATTTTAATCCTTATCTCGCATGAGATCGGATCCCTTGTTTATCTGAACTCACATCAGCTTTCTTTTTTTTTCAGAGAACAGCGACGTTTCCACAACAGAGTTAAACAGGAAACCATGGTTACACTTTCAACCGGCGATGGAAAGGTTGAAAAGAGAGAAATACGATTTACTACACCCACCACCATCGGTAAACTCGTGTAGAAACAAAGTAGGCACGTCACTGAATTTATATTTCGCGTAATTAAAGCTGCCGGGTGTGAAAATTAAAGCTCATTACTCTAGTTTTAGTTATGAAACTAGGCTACAGTGTGTTGTTTTGAAGTTTCTTATGATGATCTTTTTTAATTCGACGATTTAAAACTCTTTCACAGACACGAGCTGCTCCGCAAACCGACTTTCTTAATATATCTGCATGTTTTTTTTTCACATTTCCTTCTACTTTTTTTCTAATGATCAAGCTATGCGCGAGCGTGTTGAACTGAGGAGAGCGCGCGCTCGTATGCGCACGCGGCCACGCTCCCGCCTATCGGAACGACTCAACGGTTTCCAAGAAACGTTCGCGAGTGACGCGTCGACGACCAACTGAAACACCGAATGACAACACGCTACCAACGTTACCAAGTTTCTTGACGTTGCCATGGTACCGGCTGCCACTGAAGCAGCACTGAGAGAGGAACTTAAAACTTTGCTCTTACGTTTGATCTGGCGGGGCTTGCTCTGCTTTCTTCGGGACATGGCCGTCCGCCCCCCTTGGTTCCCGGTCCGGCGGACGCGGAGCGAAATCGGCTCACGGAGAACTAGCAGCACTGGAACACGGCTCGCCCTCCGTCCGGAGAAACCGGCATGACCCGTGCTCTGGCGCTCTTCGCCGGAGAGGAGCTACCTGTAGCCGTGAGCGAGCTTCAGTCAGTCAGGCTACTTCTCGACGGGAGCCCGGAGGAACCGTCTTCTTTCTCCGCTCACTCGCCGCGCGACGCTGCCTCGCTGCCACGACCTGAAGGACTGACAGTTCTCCGGTGCTGCTCGAATGTGTGACTGGCCGGAGAAACACGAACCTACAGCCTTTATTTTTGTTTTTGTTTGTGAACACGAACTCGCCGCTACGCTTCAGAGAAAGCAGTTCTCAATGGGCGCTCGCTCGACAGGCTCGTGAGGCAGTGTAGCTGATCGACGAGGCCACGCCCCCGACACGCCTCCTGCGTAATGATGCCACGGCGCTGCTCAGCAGCTGTAGCTCCCGAAAAACAAATGCTTAAATATTCTTCAACACCGCACAAAATTGGGCACATTCAGCACGGCTGCTTTGCATTACTTTTCTTCACTTTTTTACGCCTCAAACGAGTACTTCTTTAATACTATTACTGCAGGCCTACACCGATCAGCCATAACATTAAAACTTGTTTCTACACTCCTTGTCCATTTGATCAGCTCCACATAACATAAGGGTTCACTTTGTGGTTCTACAGTTCTAGACTGTAGTCCATCTGTTTCTCTGCATACTTCACCTTGTTCATCAATGGTCAGGACCACCAAAGAGCAGGTATTATTTGGGTGGTGGTGGTGGTGTGTTAGTGTGTGTTGCGCTGGTATGAGTGGATCAGACACAAATGAGTGGATAGTCCACTAACCAAAAATGTCCAGACAACAGCGTCCTGATAAAGGGCTAGAAGATGACTAACACAAACTGTGCAGCCACAGATGAGCTCTCATCTACCAACAAGGTATGAGTGTCTAATAGAGTGGACAGTAAGTGGACACAGTGTTTAAAAACTCCAGCAGCACTGCTGTGTCTGATCCACTAGTACCAGCACAACACACACTAACACCCCACCACCATGTCAGTGTCACTGCAGTGCTGAGATTGAACCACCACCTAAATAATACCTGCTCTGTGGTGGTCCTATAGGGGTCCTGATCATTGAAAAACAGGGTAAAAGGGGGCTAATGGACAATGAGTGCAGAAAGAAGGAGGAGATTTTAATATTATGGCCGTATATTATGGAGTGTGCTGATCCAGCATTTACAATAGCACTGGGCAATATGGCAATGAAAAATTACAATACTGCAACACATTTTCATGATACATGATATGTGTCATGATTAAATTTTCCTGAGGTTTGATGAGTTGGAACAGAAAAAAGGAGAAATAGTGCAATATAAAAAAATATATATATCAAAAACTATTAATGCAATGACTTTTATTCAACATTTCATACTGTGCTGCTCTAAACTCAATTTAAAAAGACTAATTATGCTCTCTTTGCAACGAAACATGCAATTGGTTTGTGTTCTGTAAATACTGACAATGTCCACGATATGCTCAGAAAATCTTATTGTAACAATGTCATGATAACAATAAATATTTCATATTACCCATCCCTAATGTATGGTTTTGTCTAGGGATTTGTAAATGGTTTAATATTTTCTACAGCCTCCTAGTGACTGTAGTTCCCCAGGAAAGGTTTATCAGAAGGTTTATTTTTTTTTCCCTTTTTAATTTCTTTTTTTAAAATTTCTGTACAATTCAATCGCTGCAATGTAAACAACGTGATTCAGAGTGGTTTGATGTGAAATGGTTCATTGTAGAGAAACTTACAGACTTTGATTTCTTTACAGTGGTGGTGACTGGAACCAGGGGGCTGCGATGTTTGCAACACAAAAATAGCCATTTTATTTACTATCCAAAACCACCAGTGAACTTTCACATGTTATCTGAGTTTTTATATGTAGTGCTAATGAGCTAAAATCATGGTAAATCTGAAAAATATGTTTTCTTCTGGGGACTATTTTGCCTTATAACACCCTGCATGTACCTCCCCATCATAAATGGCTCTTAAGAATACATTTCAGGCCATAATCTAATCTCAAAACTATCATAAACAATGTCTCAGGAGTCATGCTGTGTATTCCGAATCATTTCTTGTAATAGCTTTCTGTGAGAGGTGCTTTTAGAAGCATTAAACTCTTCAGACTCTATCACCACCACTATAAACTCTTCTGGCTCTAGAATGGAACATTTCATCAAACCTCTCTGAATGACTTTGTTTACATCTTAACATTGTACATCCTTTCCATTTTAATCATTATAACTAATCCCAAGAATCTGACAATTCTTTGTGCCACTAAAGGCAGTTTACAAGGAAAATGTTTACACAGAAATGAGTGGACGTCAGTGTTATTACTACAAAGGATGTAATAAGCAGTTTGGACTGATTTGGTATCTTTGGTGTGCACATTCATCTCTCAGACCAACACACAAACTCACTGCTTCCATCTAGTGACCAAGACAGAGTTCTCTCCATTCTAAAAGTAACATTCTCATCACAAAAATGTGATATCTTTGTGAGAGTTATAGAAGCAACCTCAAACAAACAGATACGTAATACAGATTTCTGGTGTTGTCCTCCCAGTAAAGGCAGTTTTATCTGATTGCCTGATTGCTGATACTGCTCACAGAGGACACATCACAAACACATCCTGTTCTTCTCTTGATTAAACAGGACAGCATCAGCTGACTAAGATGTCTTTTTTACAATTACACATGGTAAACATAAGCTTTACATGGCATTGTCAACAAATATTATCAACATCTAATTCCAAGTAAAATCAGCATTCCATTTTGCTGTGTTGTATCAACAGCATTGATTAATACTCTTGCATTTATGGCTGAAAGATGAATCATTTTTATATCGAAATCAAAATTTAAGTGATGGTTTTTAAAATCATAGCCTACATCAAAAATGTTGTCATAGGTTTTAAGTGGGGAAATTTAACCTAATAACACAGAGCCTTTGAACTGCCTGGAGAGAAACCAAACCTCCATACATTGTGACATCACAACCACAAATTCATTGTAGTCTGTTACACTACATTCAAGTGTGAAGCCTCAAGCCAGAAAAAGTGTACATTCTGGTCCTCTTGGCCACAAGAAGCAGGCATGAACTTTAATTTATAGAGAAAAATCATAATTTAAATCATAGTCAAAATATTACTCACAATTAGGCATTTTCCCCAAATCGTTCAGGCCTACTTGCATTATTTCACTTTAATTTGGGCCTATTTATTTTATGATTGGCCATGGTTTGCATTCATTTTTGTCCTACCCAACAAATAATTGTTTAAATTAAAAAAAGTTACTCTATAGATTATATGAAGCAATGGATTTATTCTATCAAGATTTAACTGTACTTAAAATCAAAGACTTTGATTCTCAGAGTCCCCTGCATCTCATTTGATCATTTGAGGCTGCATTACATTAAGATGCCACTAGAAGGTGTTCTCCCTCTAAATTACTGAGGCCAGATACATCTACATGCAGTATCTTCCAAAAATACTCAATGCCATCTTGTTTTCATTGGTTTTTCTCACAAACATGAAAAATATTGGAACTTGTAGTGAAAATGACTAAAACGTGTACGTTCATTCAAAATGCCATAAAAAGCTAATTATTTTATAATCTTATTACCACAACACACAGTGACAGCCAGCCATTTTTATTTTCACTTGTGCTTTGGTTCACTTTCTTTGAGTTTACAAAACATTAAAGAGATTCAAGAGTTAAAAGCAATACAAACTCATTCTTTCTAATATGAAAAAAAAAACCAGATAACTCTCAGTAAGTAGAAACATATGTACACAGCAGTAATAAGCATAGGGTAAAAATGATCTACTAAATGATTATGACTATTATATGACTATAAATTATGTGTACTATATAATGCCTGTGAAGCATACAGTGAAACTCACAGTTTGGGCACCCCTGACCAAGTGACATATTTTGATGATTTTTGCAGTATGAAAAAGTAGGCCTAAATGCAACTTCTGCAGCCAACTATTTAAAGAAAATAGCATTTTCCTGCAAATGTTAATGCAGTTATTTATGTTTGATTAACTTTAAAAAAGGAAAAAAGTAGTAATTGTGGCATGTGCAAAAGTTTGGACACTCTACTAAGTCAGTACTTACTAAGTACCCCTTTGGCAGATTTCACTGCTTGCAAAGCTTCAGCCTGCTTCTTGAAATAGTTCATGGTGATTTTTAAGCTATGTTTTGGATCACTGTCCTGCTGTAGAAGCCAGCCTCTTTTTAGCTTCAGTTTCCTGCTTCCAAGTTAGTTAATATTTAGTGGAATCCATTTTTCCATCTACCTGTCAAATGTTTCCTGAGCCACTGGCTGCCTCGCAATAGATTCACTCCCATGTGTAACAGCTGGCAAGGTGTTCTTTTCATCAAATACTGATCTGTTATTTCTCCAAACATACCTCTGTGAGAGTGGGCAAAATGTTCCATTTTTACTTCATCAGTTGACAGCATTTGTTTCTAAAATACCTCTGGCTTATCTAGATGTTGCTCTGCAGACTTCAGACATTTTGCGAGGAGGTTGCAGGTAAGGTTTTCTTCTGATGACTCTTCCATGCAGACCATGTTTGTGCAAGCGCTGGGAAAATCTTAGGTGAAATACTTTGATGTCTTTTTATAACTTTCCTCTGCTTCGTAGGCATCAATTAGCCTCATTTTCAGATCTTCTGCCAGCTGTTTAGAGAAGCCTGTGGTTGTTACGTAAGGTTTAAAGAGTCAGAGCATTTATCATGCTCTGGAATTGTCGTAAGCTGACAATTTCTAATGACAACCAATTAACCACTCCTAACAAGTTACTTAAGGCTTAACGAGTTAAGCTCTGAAAATTTACTATTGGAAGGATGTCCAAAATTTTGCACATGCTATAATATTTTTTTTTTCTATTTTTTAAGTCAATAAAAAATTAACATTGCATTAACATTTGTAAAATTTTTGTTTGTTGCAGAGGTGTCTACTTCAGCACTTCAGACATCAACAAAAATTGGTCAGAGGTGCCCAAACATATGTATACAACTGTCCAAAATGGGATGATTTTTTGCTAAATAAATAAACACAGAATATATAAGCATCTGCTGCATGAGTAGTCTCCATTTCATAAAGACTACACCTAGCTTCATCTACCTGAGTACATTAGATTTTTGAGCTTCACTTTTACAAGAGTAATATGAGAGCAACCTATCCCTCCCTTTACTCACAGGATTTCTGTACTTCTTTCAGCACTGTATACAGTATG